TTACAAATATTCTCCTTTAATTTCATATGCATTGAAGGGTTTTAAGGCAGTCAAATAAAAATAAGTACGCTCACAACTATTTTCGCTATCACGGCTGCTTGTTGATTATTCACGCTTGACTTCCGTGTTATTCCTTGTCGTGTGCTGTTAGTTGTGAGCGTACTTATTTTTATTTGACTGCCTTAAAACCCTTCAATGCATATGAAATTAAAGGAGAATATTTGTAAAAGATACGGCTCCGGATCCAAGTGGCGCAGAACGCCCCCTCTCCCTACGGGCCCGGGGTAGCCCGRCGGGGCCCGTGGCGTAGAACCCCCATTTCATATCTACTGGTGTTGTAAGTGTTAGCCTGAATAGCGCGTAAGAGAGGGGGTAGGGGSTTCTATGGGTAAGGGGGTAGTGGACCCCCTTTCCCTCTTCCCCATTCACCATTGCTGTTTAGAAAGATTACTTTGAAAACAGATTCGACTGCCGTTTTATAAGGTTTGATGTGTTCCGGTTTTGTAGACACTTTATGTGCTTAATTTTTCAACATGTTTTGACAGGTAGAATGTCAACTCGAACTCTCGGTGCCCTGGTGCCCATTTATAGACAGCAGTGTTACAGTATTTTTTCCATTTCTTTCATTATATTTCTTTCATTTCTCAAAAGGCGAAGTACAATGGTGATTCCAAAAAAAATCTTTTCCCGAGTCAAGAAATAAAAGGTTTCGATGACATGAACTATATTGCTTTTGGTTTGTTTACATTTTTGCTGCCAAAAAGTTCCAGTTTGATCTACTTCGGTACTTCAAACAAACACAGTCGAGCCATTTGATTAATGTCGATTCACTCTAGTGAAGGTCAGGTTAGGAATATCCAAGATTGATGTCATCACAGGCGGCGTGGCGTGGCGGCGTGCCTAGACACCTTCACAGGCTGTTCACGTGACTCCTTTGAATATCACATTCCAGTTCCAAGAAATCTGACTCACTGCATTCCTTTTCCGCGTCCCAGCGAAAATGGCTGCACTCAAATTGCTCAAAGACTATACAGACAAATTCGAAAGAGAACTCACTTGTTCCATTTGTAAAGAAATATTTACMCATCCCAAGACTCTGTTATGTCTTCACAGTTTTTGTACACACTGCATCTTTCACTGGTACAAGACAAGCTGGAATCGARGAGACCATCAAATGGAATGTCCGATTTGCAAGACGACGATGGTTGTGCCAGACGGCGATCCCAAGAAGCTTCCATCTTCATTTTACTTTGACTCTCTATTACCTTTGCTGCAAGCCATGAAAACTAGAGCAAACCAACCAGGGTTATCGGATGGTGTTTGCGGTGAACAACCGCAAGTCTTGGATTCATTGTGTGCGCAGTGCAATGGCTTGATATGCGAGAGAATTCAAAGAGAGATAGCCATGGCAGAGAGGGACGTTGATAATGTGGTTGAAATGATTTGTAAGATGGCCAAAGAACACGGAATAGCGAAGAAGGAGGAACTGAAGCAGACGCTCCAGGAACTAACAACAGCAAATCATGAAGARCAAACGGGAATTGAAACAAGATTAAAAGATCCAGATGAATTGGTGCAACATTGCCGAGCACTGTTGGAGAGAGATGTAGCATACGAGGAAATAGAAAGTAAGCAAATGATTAAAGAAAGAARTCATATGTCATCAGAAGCTGCTTCGATCTTGTGCAGTCAGCCAATCAAGCGTAACGTGACAATACGTTGCTCCGTGATAGAGCAAGTCATGCAATCACTGCTAGAGATCGGCAGGATTGTGAAGAATTTGACGGACCCTGCTCGATCAACAATTGAATTATTGAAAACCCCTCGTGGTTTTATAAACGAGTGCAAGATAATCACCAGGAATACAGAGGGAGAAGTGTGTCCCACAAGAATCGAGTCTATTGATGTTAGAATCAAAGATGTGGAGGGCAATGAGGTGGAAAAGAAAGTGTCTGAAGAGCAAACTGGAAAATGCCGTGTGAGTTTTAAGCCACAAAAAAGTGGACGGCACGAAATTCAGGTGAATATTGGAGGAGAAAGGATCAAGAACTCGCCTCAGAATGNNTCGAACCCACGACCTTCGGAATTGTACTACCGATGCTCTACCAGCTGAGCTAGAGGTCAGACTGAGAGCAGGCCGGGGTGAAATAGAATGTAAAAGAGAGTACTCTCATCTTTGCATCATAATTACCGCGATCTTACATTCTATTTCACCCCGGCCTGCTCTCAGTCTGACCTCTAGCTCAGCTGGTAGAGCATCGGTAGTACAATTCCGAAGGTCGTGGGTTCGAATCCCAGCGAGGTCGGAAATTAATTTTTCCGAATTTAATTCCAAGGGCTTTCGCCCGGAATAACCTCGTTCCCAAGCACTACAACTTACCTATATTATCTTCTACTATTTCATTAGTGCCACGCGGTCCACATACTCTCAGGAATACAGAGGGAGAAGTGTGTCCCACAAGAATCGAGTCTATTGATGTTAGAATCAAAGATGTGGAGGGCAACGAGGTGGAAAAGAAAGTGTCTGAAGAGCAAACTGGAAAATGCCGTGTGAGTTTTAAGCCACAAAAAAGTGGACGGCACGAAATTCAGGTGAATATTGGAGGAGAAAGGATCAAGAACTCGCCTCAGAATGTAGAGATACTCGATGTGAAAGAGTTGTTTAAACCTGTGAAAACATTTGGAGAAAAGGGAAGTGGTAGAGGACAGTTGTGCAAACCATATTCGATAGCAGTCAGTGACAATGGAGAGATAGCCATTGCTGATGGTTATAATCACCGTATTCAAATATTCAATCTTGATGGAAGCTATTTACACGTAAGAGAGTTTGGCAGGAAAGGAACAGGAGAAGGTCAACTATTTTATCCATTTGGAGTTGCGTTTAATGAAGACAGAATAATTGTCAATGATGGTACACATGGTAAAGGCAGGATACAAGAGTTTGATTTGAACGGTACTTATGTAGGAACGATCTACAGACATGACCTGTGGTTTGCACCGCATGAAATGTGTGTTAACGATAATAAAAACATCGCAGTGTGCTGTTGGGGAAAACAAGAACTGGGTATCAAACCAAGTATCAAGGTGTTCAGTAAACAAGGABATTTAGTTCATGAGTTTGATATGCCTGATAATAATGAACGGYCTTGGTACATCACCTATGGTAACGGGAAATACTTTGTATCTTATTGGAACATAAACTATGTTCGTGTTTTTGATGTGAATGGAGTTTTCTTGTACAAGTTTGGAGAAGAGGAAGAAAGAGACGGTCAGTTTAATGGTGTATGTGGACTGGCTGTTTATGGTCCAGACATGATTCTTGTCTGTGATGGTTATAATCACCGTGTTCAACTGTTCACACAAGAAGGTCAGTTTATAAGGTCATTTGGTAGTCGTGGTTCAGGTGTTGGTCAGATGAATGGTCCT